ATTTGCAATTTTCCACGATGTTTGCTCGGAAAATTATTAACTCTCGTGAAATATCCACAAGGGCTCCATGGAGCTGTAGCTCGTTACAGAGGAACTCATGGATACTTTTGGGTTGCGTGCATTGTGAAAGATGTGCAGGCGCGTTCAGGGTAAATTTTTTTTTTCTGCTGGATGAGCAATTTCTGGTTTATTGTTGTTTTCCCATGTAAAAAGCGCCATCTGAAAAATACGAGTCTATATCGAGTTCTATTTCTAGGGATGATTATCAAGGAGATACTGCATAATATATATAGCAACGAATAAAAAAAAAACTTATTGATCAAGAAATAGTTTTTTTTCATCGTGATGCAGGTGGGAGTTTATTTTCTCTGACTATGGAAAGTTTGTCAAGGTCTTTCGGTGCAAAAAAGGCAGGGAATATAAAAGTTAATTGTAAATTATTGAGAATATAATAAGTTTTGTTTGATAAAGACTTTAATAAGATATTGATAATTTACAATTGTACAATAAACTTGGTGATGAAAATCTAAATGTATTAAAATATAGCTGCTTCAAGATGGTAGTGCCAAATATACCGTTTTTACATTAGTTTTAGTTTCAAGTTAGTCTATGAAACAAAAGATACAAATATTCCAGGATTTTCTTGTTGATGATAAAAATAAATAATAGTAATGAAAATAGTTTCATCGTAAAGTATTTCTTTCATAAAGCAACAATCTACACTTAGTAGTACATCTACTCATTCTACATTTCATTATTATGAAAGATTGTAATTCTTTAACGAAGCTTTTAATGCAAGTTTGTCACTTATTTTTTGTTCATCGGTTAAAAAAAATATTCCAAGTAAATAAAGTAAGCGTCGCAAGGATTTTTATCCCGTTGCCCCCAAAAAAAGCAACGGCCCGTCAACGAGTAGTACCATTTTCAATTTTACGAGGGTACATTTTCCCATTACACCGCATGCGTAGCGAGTGAAATGAAAAAAACAGCGTTGGTCATTTATAAATTACCCAAAAGAATAGTAAGTCATACAGGTCGCGAGCGACCATTCACTGCACGCCAACGTAATTGAAAAATACCCGAAAAGACCGCAACGACAAATACCAATTACTCGGGACACATGTCAGGCCACATGCAAACGCCCGCGCCAAGCACCCCCCCAAACCCAAAAAAAACCAAGACGATTCAATTTCCAGCAGCGATAAATACACCTCTCAACCTCCATTGTGCAGCCTCGGCGATGGATCCCCAAACCGAAAGACGAACCCATTGCTTGGACCGCACCAGCCTTACAGAAAGGCGCACGCGACCAGCAGCCCCTCGGTTTCTTCATCCTCCTCGTTACCCGCCGCACTTTGTTTCGCAAACGGCTCGCGTGCTCCCGTTCCAACGGCTCTCTCGCCAACGCTCCCCACCGCGCCGGGGATAACAAATCAAAATCACGCACTCGTATAAAAAAACATATACACACACACACACGTGTCTATGATGCATCTGCATGGCTCGCCTCTAATTTCTGTTCGGCCTCTCGCGTTTTAATGATTATCCGTTACACGCGCGCCTACTTACGGCCTCTCGAGAAATAAAGCACACCGCAGCAACGTTACCTAATTTGCGCAACCGATAGAGTGCAGGGGGAGGGGATGCACCGCGCGCTCGGGAGTTGCGAAAGGAGTTGCCGCTCTCCGCCTGACTTTTATAACCGTATTAATCCTTTGATGCGCCCTTTTGTCGAGCCGAGCTCTCGAAGAGATGGAGCCGTTACGAGAGGAGGAAGTGTCGCTCGATGGTTACGTGGTGAGAGAAATATATCGTGGGTGGAGGCAAAGAAGAGGATATCATTGTGTATAACCCTCGTGCGTGCAACAATGGGGAGGGAAGACGTGTTTGGGAGGATCCGTTGGGCAACGCTGGGACGAATGATTTCCCTGTCTTTGGTGACTTTTAGTGGAAGGGCATTTTCGATTAACAGTCGAGATTTCACTTTCGCCGATCGTATGAACGAGCAATGATCTTTAGATGAAATCAGAATGACCTGGCGATGATCGCTTGCTCGGTTCATTGTATTATTATTGCCGATTATATTATTATCAATCTGCAGCAACTCCAAGGATTCCCGACAGAAGTCAATAAACTCTTGAGATGCAATCATCCATTTGTGTTCTTACCTTTATCGTTGGCGTAAAGAAAAGTACACAAAATAATTACAATGTGGGGAAAAAAAATTGATACATTGATTTTTCTTTTTTATTCTTCTTACAGCTGTACCCAACTTGTCGATGAAATATTTTTCAATTATAATGCACAATTACGATGTTGCTGCTTTGAGCCATTTGAAAAAGGCTTATAAATATTGTGTATACAAATAACAATGGATTGTGGTGCAAACATTATGAAAAAAGGAATTTTTAGCCAAACTAAAGATTCCTTGATTGGAAAACGTTTTTAGCTTAATTATTTAGGAATGAGTGTGAAAAATTTCATCGACTATCGTCATACTTTAATATCTATCTTTTTACATTGATTGTTTGATTTTACTGAACCCTAATTGAATGGTTATCATTTGAATCAACCTTCAAATTTTATTTTCCACGTAAAGGCTTCATTCCCAGCATAGTTTCCAAAACTTGAGCCAATCTTATTTGAGTTTTATAATTTTTTTAATAAGTATTTGTCTGGTTACTTACTTGGAAATAAAGATACAATCATAGGCTTGTATACGAGTGATAAAAGTGTTTTCAAGTGCTACAGTTTGCAAGTTAATTTTGTTGGTTGTTCAACAATTATAAAAAGAGAACTACGGACGTGTACACTTGCACTCGCGATGCAGTGATTATTTTTGACGTCGTTGTTTACAGAAACATGACCCAGCAAGTACAGAATTATTCATTGTTTTCTTTGATTGTGATTATTTAAGATAAAAAAAAAACAAAATCTGCATTGTCATTTGAAACATTTTTGAAACAAAAATTTAATTTTTCCTTTTTTCGATTTTCACTCACCCAGTGGATTCCACATCATACTCGTCGATTTTATGACTACGCCAACTAAACAAGGTGTTGTACATAAGTTCCTATCAACAACTTGAGTCACATGACTATCTGAGTTTTTAGGTGATAATGGCTATAATAATTGAACAATGATAATAGTGACGATAAAAATAAATAATGATAAATGATGAAAATTATACAAAAAATATTGTTTGAACGAAAAACACGACACAAAAAGGAACTAGATTTTCTCGTCATTATAACGATGTGTTGTTTTTTTCGTTCAATCTATATTGAAAATCAGCTACGGGCAAATGTGGATGCGAAGGGGTTATCGTGAAAATACATAAAAATAATTATTACAATTTAAATAAAAATATTTATCATAATCATAATTATAACAACAAGCAAAGTAAAAAAATTACAACCTTCTACGAAAGTAGGGTAAAGAATGGCTTTTTTGTGGACAGTGCAACGATAACAATCACCGAGTGCATCGATATCGACATAAATCTTTATCGATGCAGATTTTGAGACTTAATTCAATCAATATGTATTAACTTTATCTTCTGTAAGCCAATATTTATTAACAATTTACCTTATTTTAATCTTTCGGGGCATAAAGAATTTCGTTGGCTGCATTGACCTTTTTAGGCTTAGTTCACAAAAAACAGATGGGTGAATGTAAACACAGAAAATTTCTGATGCACACTATGAAAAAAAATGAAATGATTGACTGTTATCGTGCATGACGAGCTGTACAGCATAAAACATATTAGAAAAGTTGTTTACAGGCTACTTATGGCTTATTATACAATAGATAAACCGGGAAAAAGTATCGTAAGTCTGAAAGTCTGGAAATAGCACCGGTTTTAATAAAACTTGGTAACGTGTCTATTCGCTCCGAGCCGATGCAGAGGTTGCGCCCCCTCTAGCCAAAATCAGGCAACATTTCTTGCACGTAAACAAACGGCTTAGAACATATATACATACGTACAGCTGCTTGTGATTGGCACTTGGCAAGCTAGAGAGAGAACGACGATCCTCTCCTGCTGTCTTATTCAGCCAATCACAAGCAGCTATACGTATGTGTATATGTTCTAAACCGTTTGTTTACATGCAAGAAATGTTGCCTGATTTTGGCTAGAGGGGGCGCAACCTCTGCATCGGCTCGGAGCGAATAGGGCCCAAAAAAAAAAATTTGACCATCTCAGTCGAGACATGGAGGAAGGGGGCTTAGGAACCCAATTGGGGGCATATGTACACTCAAAAATACCCCAATCCCGAAGGTAGGTACTTTTGATCGTTAAATATAAATTCGATGTCGGTTTACGTGGATTCTATCACATACTTTGAAAATTGAGACATTTTAGGCAGGAAATTTCTTGAAGCCTTAGAACATGAAGTTGGAAGTATAAAATCATCCATTGGAATCATTTTTTTTTCTTTGTCTTTTAATTGAAACTAACAATACTAATCAAAAGAGTTACTGCCCGAGATTTCATATACCATATTGGTACTATTCATTGTTTGTATTTTATCCTCGCTTATTTTTGAAATAACACTGATGTTCTTGTGTAAATTCTAAAAACTGGTTGCACGAATGATTTTTTAAATATTGTTTAACGTTTTAAAACATTGAAGACCACTGTGACGAAGCCCCTCTGCGATTGTTAATGAACACTTGTGGAAAATTTTTTATTATTTATTTTGTAAAGTCTTTTTTAAATATATTTGTTGATGAGGCAAATAATACATAAATTTTGTTATTATATTGTCATCGTGAAACGATCGATCTGTGAGTTTCATGACTGTATCTGTCAAGTTGTAAACTATACTAATCTTTTGTTGTTGAGTGTCGTTAATTGAAAAATGACTGAACACAATCAACTTTGATTAAATACGCATGGGTCGTTATCGATCAAGATATCCTCCTCTTAAACTCTCAATGAATCCGTGGAGCACCGATACACAGACTTAACTCTGGAATTCCTGCGATAAGGTCACCACCTCCAATGTCACCGCGTTTGGATTACGATCCAAATATAAATATTCCCGTCTATTGTAGTACCGACTATCAGTCGACTCGAAGAAACTCCCGAGATGAAGCTCATCACTGCTCTAACTCTCTTGTGCGGCGCACTCACCGTCAATGGTAATTATTCCTTTCACTCTACACTACTCATCGTAAAAATAGCCGACCCAAAAAAGAAGAATCAGTCAACCGATTGTCATAAACATTTTAGCATATCCGCGTATCGTCGGAGGAGGCGATGCTCCAGATGGAAAGTACCCGTATCAGGTATCTCTGAGAGCCCCATCGTCGCACTCGTGCGGTGGCTCGATCATAAACAAACGCTGGATATTAACGGCAGCGCATTGTATCAGTGGGTAAGCCATGGCAAAACAACACTCCGATCCATAAAATAAAAATTCAAAATCTCATCTTCACCCTTGGATTGCGCATAGTCGCCCGGCTAACTTCTTCAAGGTACACGCCGGTTCGACCAAACTCGACGATCCACAGGCCCAAGTGTACCAGTCCGAAAAAGTTGTGTATCACGAAGGCTACGGCCAGGGCTTGGGTGTCAACGATGTTGGTCTCATCCGCGTGAGCCGCGACATTGACTTTAACGAAAAAGTCCAGCCAATCCAGCTTGCCAGCGAGGAGTTCACCAAAGTCGACTATCTAGCAACGCTGACTGGCTGGGGACGGTTGACGGTACTTACGACTTCCTTGCTATTACAAAGCTCACCCTTTTGGCAAAACAGTTGTTGAATGTACGTGTTCTGTTCAAAGGCTGGTGGACGGATTCCCAACAATTTGCAGGAGATCAACTTGAAAGTCATAGATAACGTCGCATGCGCCAAGGGTATGGGTCATAAGGTCCAGGACTTCCTCATCTGCACCCTTACCAAAGCCGGCGAGGGTGCGTGCAACGTGAGTATATCTTTTATCGAAAGTAGTGAGTTTGGTACAAAAATAAAATGTTTTTTGTTGCGTTTGCCAGGGTGACTCGGGTGGTCCTCTCGTGGCCGATGGAGTCCAGATCGGTATCGTCTCGTACGGTTACCCATGTGCGCATGGAAGACCGGACGTCTACACGAGAGTTCACTTCTTCCTCGACTGGATCCACAAGCGAGTGACTGCGGAGTGATACGGATCTTTGGTTGTTGTAAAAAGATGTTTGCATTACGGAGGAAAACGATTTTGGGCTGTGGAATAGAACTGATACGTGGATAAGTTAATAAACGTGTGCGAATCAATATTACATTTCTTTTCAACTCTTTTATCCATACATACACGAATTCAGTCTTTCATCGAACCGTTAAACATGATTAACAGAATTGAGAGAGAAATAAAACCACGTCAGACAAAATAGTAACATTTTCTTATCATACAACACTGTAATACAATAAACTGTTTTTTGAAACATATATGAAAACTTCATTTCGACTTGTGGAATACATCCATAATACTTTATCAAATAATAATCAAAAGACAGTAAAGAAAACAAATAAAAATAAAAATACGATACAAAAAAGAAGGGCTTATTGCGTGAACGCACAGAAAAAGAGCTTGGGGAATTAGAGGTATCAGGTGGTATACGCAGAATTTGGAGTACCATCACTAACGTCAGAGCAGTAGGGGTAGCCGGGATTTTCTAGCAAAGGAGCAGCAGGTGGCGATTCTTCGTGGCAGGCCAAAGAGAAGAGAGGACAGACCCTAAGAGATGAGGAGTTTCCGAAAATTACTTCTGTAAAAATGCATAACATGATTTTGTGGCGAAAACGCCATCAAAAGAGGGAGATGGGGAAAGAAAGAGAGAGAGAGAGAGAGAGAGAGAGAGAGAGCGCTTGCCTTGCCACCCAAATTTATGATAACGACTCGATGGAGCAAGACGAGGGCTAAGAGCAAAACTTTGGAGAGCAGCGGTAGCTCCTCTTGTCGCTATATATACAAACACACACCCGCTGCGCCGTGTTGTCTATTAGCTGAATAATTCACGGGATTCCACGGGAGTCGAGGATGAGGTTGATAGGCAGTCCAATAATCGAATGGCACACTTGGTTGTGTTATTGGCTGAATTTTCGAGGGCCAATATCCTGGTATCTTGAGGGTTCATCGGCTCTAATTACTTGATTTGAACAACCGAAAATCCTACTAACTTTACTATGCATAGCTATTCCTTGATCCAAGTGGTGGCTAATCGTCTATTCCACAATCCACAAGTGACACAACATAATACAACATACAATAAGTGATTATCCACTTTGAACAAGTACTTAATTACTTGTTAGAACAAAGAAAAGTGGAACATTTTCTTACTATTTCTGTTATATTCTTTTTATTGTGTTATTCCTCTAGTGCATTGCTAGAAAATTATTTACCTTACTCATTGATCGAATTCAATAAATTAAATAACCCTTTTTATTCAAACCGTGAAATAACAGTCGAAAACTTCCGTAATGTATTCTTATAACTTATTGTAACCCATCATTCCAATCACAAATGTTCGTTTTTCCTAAAAAAATCGTTAAAGACAACATCAACGGAGTTGCTAATGTATACATTATCAGTAACCGTGACCATTAATAAAAAAGTATTATACACATTCTCCAATTCATAAAAAAAGTTACCACAAGATCGTTGCCCCATGTCGTTGACACAAAAGTTACCACATGATCGTTGCCGATGGATAACACCAAATGAGTAGGTACACCTGTAACGTCACAAAAACGTACCGAGCTCGATCCTTCGGCCAAAAGCTTAGTTTGGGACGAGGAGAAGAAAAAAAGAAAAAAAAAGGTTGGAGACCAAGAAGAACCAAGACACGAGAGAAAGAGCCCGCAGATGTGGCGAGGAACAGACTCGCAATATGTGGACTGGAGATATTGGCTGACCCAAGTGGGCTGCGGGGAGGGGGGGGGGGCGAATAACCCACCGAGGCCACGATGACGACTGTAACACATACATTGCGTGGACATTTACACGATAGGTTTTTTGATAGAGCTGCAGCTTTTCGAGCAGAGCAAACGTGACGCTTGTCGCGCACGTGCGCCAACTCTACATACACGCACCCACGTGACGCTACGAACTACGTGAATTGAAGAATGAAGATAAAATATGGAGTCTGGGTCCCATCCTTTTCTTTCCTTTAGTGTCTTGTTCACTTGTACAGTTTCACGTGAATTTCCCTTTTACGTCTCTGTACGTACGTACTTGTCATAATGTCTCTTTCTGGGGTGTTTACGGGGATGATTACGGAAGCAGTTGGATATTGGTCTTCGCAGTAAGAATTGTACTTTTCGAAAGTGTTTCTACTAGAAATAATAAACGTTAAAACATCTGGAATTTTCTTGTTACAATAGTATACTTCTTTCGCTGCAACTTGTTGTAAAATGCACCTATTGGAAGGTAATTTTTAATATCATATCCCTATTACTTGTACAGTGTCCACAACCTTCAGAGTTCCCACAGTTTTTGGAATTACCAAAGTTTTTTTGTTTCCTACTGCTGCAGTTATTTTTTTCTCTTAGACGTTTCGTATTTATGATGACGAATAAGCTTCAATAAGTGTATTCTAATTACTTTAAAATTACAATATTTTTTAAAGGTGGAGAAAACAAACTATACGGTCATTGTTGTCACGAATATACGGTAATAATGGATAATGTGGAAACAGAAAAATTTTTACAGCGAAACCACTATAAAAATTACCCTTCGAGCGATGAAAATCATAGTGAATTATGTTACAAAGTCCATTGACTTGAATTCATTGTCAATTTTACTGTAATTTAGTAGTAAAAATTACTGTCACTCTCCTCTTTGTTTCACGTATGTTAACACATTGATTTTTCAATCATCGATGCACGTCCGACTCGAATGACAATCATCCCATCGCTTTTTCTCTACTTCTGCAGCGTCGCACTTCATGGTGCATCAGAATAAAATACATCGCGAAACGATACAACGGATAATGGTAAACGAAACGAGTGCTGATAGCAAAAAAAAAACAAAAAAAAAAACGAGCTTTCCACGTCCACTTGTTCTCTTTCCCATCCAGTAATATGGACGACCAACTCGAAACGCGATCGCTCTCGCGCGCGGAAAAAGCTCCCACTACTCTTTCGGCTCTTTGACATTGAAAATACGCGAAATATTCGACAAATTCGACTTGCTCACCAACGTTTCGGCCCGTCCGTCTATTTTATAAATATCAGCTCCTCTTTCAAAAGCTCGCATCCCACGCACGCTTTTACCGAAAGTTGATGAAGTGCTGGTTGAAATGGAGAGACGGAGAACAGCGGTATTGAATTACACGAGATCATCATTATTATCATCATCATCGTTATTATAGTCTACAATACAATACACCGGACGCTCGAGTACAATGCCCCTGACTGCGCCACCTCTTTTCATCGCAAATCGCCAAAATTTGTGCGACCCACACCCTTCCTTTACCCATAGACCGTGTATCATTACCATTCCCGAGGGGAGCACATCCAAACGCATGGTTCGTACGTATTAACGTCTATATGTTTATTACGAGTGATAACACGGCATCTTTTTTGTTGTTGCGTGGAAAAAAAGTGCACATTTAATCATACATATCGGTATTGAAACAACCCTTCTTTCGTTGTAATAAAAGTGTAATTTATCACTTCAATCGACTGCCACAATATTTTTACTACTTTTGGTGCAAGTGCCTCTTGTATTTTGTACTAAAATTTGAAATCTTACTAACATTTGTTTAAAAGTTATCTTGAGAGTGTGGAAAAAAGAAAAGAAAATCCATCCCGATGATATTTTTTTTAATGGAACCAGCGTATATTTTTAAAACGAAGACTCACTTAAAATTATCTCGAAAAACACATCAACACGAGCTTCATTCTCCGACCATGGACTGCAAGTCGTGTAATCCATCATCCAAAGAGTATCCCTTATATATGGATAAAGCAGTAATGCTAAAACACAATACCTGCAACACGGACGCTATATCTTTCTCACTTCGAAGAACGATGGCGTCTAATAATACACGTAATATCCACCCATATACATGTACATACAAGTGTGCGATAGGAGTTTCCAGCATTTAACATCGGCGTGACCCACCCGAGACTAATTTGCTCATCAGTTAAATGAGTATAAATCTCGGCCCCGAGACTTTGCTCGTCTCCTGCTCTGTTGGTGCTACTCCTCCACCTTGTCGTCTTACGTACACCCCTTAAACTCGACGCAAATTCTAAAGGATTAGAGAGAGAAAGGCACTGTTCTTCTGCAGCAAAACTCGAATTCATCTCGGTGGTGGGTGAATATGGCACATACTCCTACAACTTTGTCCCAACAACAAAACGCATTAGCCCCTTGTAGATGAACACGACGTGTGGATGTATATACATATATAAACGTGCCGTGTATCAGACTACGTGTTATCTCTTGGCTCGTAAAGTTGAGAAATCGATGCTTGTTTTGCTACCCGTTTAAATTATTGTCCGTCTCGGGGTGGTCGGAGGTGATGGTGGTCTTGTTCTTAACCGAGTCCGTAGATTAGAAGTTATGCGCTGTTGGCATTGTTGGTTTTCGAGGGAGGGTCACTACGCAGTTACCATTTAATTCCAGAAAGTCAGGTAAGTATAAGGGGCGCGTTTTTGTCTAGTTTTGTCAAGAGTTTGTTTGTTGTACGGTGCATGAATATCACAAATGTTTCGTTGACCAAAAACGTTGTAAGGATGAATAAAAAAGATAATTTCTTTAATTTCTTAATTTATTTTGGTGCAGGGTGGGAGTAAAATGATAAATGTCGATGGATCATTTGAAAAACATGAAAGGGCGCCGAGAAAACTCACTAGAGTGGGTGTACCGAGTAGTAAAAGAGCGAGTTAGTATATAAAGTCAAAGGTGGTGCGAAAAGTCCTCCAAGGCGGAGAAGGGGAAGAAGAAGACGAGAGAAAAGCAGGAGGCAGATGCTTGCTCGGTCTTTGGAGCCCGTATATATATACGCGTATACGTGTGTGTGTACTTATATTACGGCTGAGCCGCTTGAGAAAGTGTAATAAATAATATCTCACCTCGTTCGGTGGTCGGGATACAGCCTAAAGATGCCCCGAGAACTCGCGAGGAGCGTAAGTGAGAGATGAATACATAGCACGGAAGAGAAGAGGATGGGGGAGGGGCTGGAACGAGTGTATAATATAAGCAAGCTAGAGCGAGCCATGCAGCTACAGCGTATAATGGAAGGAGAGGGAGGCGAGGACGAGTAATTAAATGGAATTATTTAGTGTTATGAAAGGACGGAACGGCTCTCTTTCTCCGTGGCCGTGGTGCTGATGCTCGGCTCGCCTCCTCGCTCCTCTGGAGAGAGAAGAGCGGGATGAAGGAGGTAAAATGCTCTCCTCGCCCCCACGAGTCTATATATGTATATGTGTACAC